AGAAGGATTGTGAACAGACTTGCAAGGCTAAAAAAAAATGTCAATTGGAATGTTGCGGAGGCGGGTGTAAAATACAGAAATGCGGAGATCAGGTAGAACAATGCACAATGCATCTGCCAGTTTGCGAGAAGGATTGTGAACAGACTTGCAAGGCTAAAAAAAAATGTCAATTGGAATGTTGCGGAGGCGGGTGTAAAATACAGAAATGCGAAGATCAGGTAGAACAATGCACAATGCATCTGCTAGGTTGCAAGAAGGATTGTGAACAGACTTGCAAGGCTAAAAAAAAATGTCAATTGGAATGTTGCGGAGGCGGGTGTAAAATACAGAAATGCGAAGATCAGGTAGAACAATGCACAATGCATCTGCTAGGTTGCAAGAAGGATTGTGAACAGACTTGCAAGGCTAAAAAAAAATGTCAATTGGAATGTTGCGGAGGCGGGTGTAAAATACAGAAATGCGAAGATCAGGTAGAACAATGCACAATGCATCTGCTAGGTTGCAAGAAGGATTGTGAACAGACTTGCAAGGCTAAAAAAAAATGTCAATTGGAATGTTGCGGAGGCGGGTGTAAAATACAGAAATGCGAAGATCAGGTAGAACAATGCACAATGCATCTGCTAGGTTGCAAGAAGGATTGTGAACAGACTTGCAAGGCTAAAAAAAAATGTCAATTGGAATGTTGCGGAGGCGGGTGTAAAATACAGAAATGCGAAGATCAGGTAGAACAATGCACAATGCATCTGCTAGGTTGCAAGAAGGATTGTGAACAGACTTGCAAGGCTAAAAAAAAATGTCAATTGGAATGTTGCGGAGGCGGGTGTAAAATACAGAAATGCGAAGATCAGGTAGAACAATGCACAATGCATCTGCTAGGTTGCAAGAAGGATTGTGAACAGACTTGCAAGGCTAAAAAAAAATGTCAATTGGAATGTTGCGGAGGCGGGTGTAAAATACAGAAATGCGAAGATCAGGTAGAACAATGCACAATGCATCTGCTAGGTTGCAAGAAGGATTGTGAACAGACTTGCAAGGCTAAAAAAAAATGTCAATTGGAATGTTGCGGAGGCGGGTGTAAAATACAGAAATGCGGAGATCAGGTAGAACAATGCACAATGCATCTGCCAGTTTGCGAGAAGGATTGTGAACAGACTTGCAAGGCTAAAAAAGAATGTAAATTGAAATGTAGCGGAGGCAGGTGTAAAATACAGAAATGCGAAGATCAGGTAGAAAAATGCACAATGCGTCTGGGATGTAGCAGTAATTATTGTGAACAAATTTGCAAGGCCAAAACATGTGATATGGAATGTAGCGGAGGCAGATGTACAAAGCAGCTATGCGAAAAGGGAAATGCGTGCAATATGCACTGTGACGCTGATTATTGTTCACAGAGGTGCACAGCTGACGAATGCCGCATGACTAGAACCTGGCCAATCAGTTCTCGGGATAAGCTTGTGTGCTCTGGAAATGGTATTTGCTGTGGAAGTCTCATGTCGTCCTATAACACACCGCCTCTCAGTACGATAATCTATGAAACTTGTACGAGCCAAGGAACGTGCACATGCACCAAGTATGCAAATAGTATCTACAGCACTTCAAATTTATACACGTCTAATATCGTTATGTGTAACGGTATTCTTCCTTTTGCAACTAAACCTTCAGCAGGGAAAGGAACTGAGACTTACGGTGAGTACAATTTGCACATTAAGTACTTAATACACGAAGTCCTTAAGATTCTATAAATAGTATAATACTTAATTGCCATACTCTAACTTCGCTACACTTTATCATTGCTTTCAAATGTGAGTGTCAATTTTATTTTGACAATGAGAATTTTCTTCATCTTTCAGCTCCACGCCAATCATCGACGCAACCACCGCTATCAATAATCTCACCATCACCATTTCCATCACCATCATCGCAATCATCATCAGCAACTGTATTACTAGCAGAAGCATCTTCATCACCCACATTAAAGTCTTTATTATTATCAAATCTAGCAACAGCAATATCAGAAGGAGCATCATCGGCAACTGCATCATCAGTATCATCACCATCATTATCTTCACCAGCAGCATCAACATCATCACCAGTAGTGGAAGCAACATCATCGGCAACTGCATCATCACTATCATCAACATCATTGTCGTCACCAGCAGCATCAGCATCAGCGTTATCACCAATAGCAGAGGCAGTATCATCGGCAACTGCATCATCATTATCATCCTCATCATTATCGTCATCAACGGCATCAGCATCAGCGTCATCGCCAGTAGAAGCAGCAGCCGAAACAACAGCTGTTTCATCGTCATCAATGCCATCTCCATCATTATCACCACTGTTAGTAATGATGACGACAGCAGCATCATCTTCAACTTATCCATCTCAAGGGACACCTCCGTCATCGACGGTGGAAGCGGTTAAGAATCTGGCACGTAATATCTTCCTCTTAACTTTTTTTATTTAGAATTTATATGGTCTGCCCTTTTTCAACGCTATTGTCTTTATCTACCTCAGGCAAAAAAATATTTCTCGGAACTAGGTGGAATAGAAATTAGTGGAATCAGCTCCTTGATGGTATGAGTTTATTTCTTTCCTATTTATTTATTGATTTCTATTTTATAGTTAAGTCACTTAGTGCATATAACATGAACAATGATTACAAAGAATGACAAATGCAATGAATCTGTTCTTAAGCTTCAAAAGCGTCCAGAGTAGCTCCTACATCTTTATGATGGTATTGGAAAACGTGGAGCTCCATCTGTTTCTTTTTTTTTTCTTTCTTGTTTTTCAACGAGATCAGACGGTTCTGAATTAATATCGTGATCGTCGTCATCATCGCCATTATCATCATCTTTCATTACTATTGTGATTACTATTGTATTATAATCGCCAACTTTGTTAGTATTATCTTTATTACGACATGAGCTGGCATGAGTGGAAAATTGATCGCTAGAGAAGATGTTCCGACTTCTTTCTTGGAAGAGTTCTTGGACACCAGTTGACCATCCTGCAGGATTTAGTTTTTTTTCTCGATTCGCTTTTGGAGTTTATTAATTTCCTTATCTAGTTTTTTTATGATCTTACTAGGAGAATAATAAATATGCCTTTGCTAACAAATTGCACGAGTAACAGTTCCCTTAAACTCTTTTGTAAAAAAGTCCGACCACGATTTGGGGTCTGCGGGTGGAATCTTCATAGGAAACTCAAATCTTTTGTTTGGTTCTCACGGGTAGAAATTTATAGCATCTTACTTTAACAAAAATATTTCATGCTGTTACAGGCGGCTATAAGGCTTTTTGAAGACTTCATCACCAGTATTCAAACCATCCCAAAACCTCTTAGCAAAGAAGAGATAGATATGATAAGAAAATCCACTTTCGGGGTGGCAGCCGCCTTGGAGGAATTTGCTCTTAATTATGGCAAGTACCAACTGATTGGAAAGAACTCTTCAGTGAAGATAGATAACCACACACTAGGCGAGTCAGGACAATGATTTATTCAGATTTGTAATAATGCGTTACTTATAAATTCACTGACTAATCGACTGATTTACAAAATGGCTTATTTGCTTTGATAATGTAATACTTTTTTTTTTTAATGGGACCTGTTAACAAGTGCTATTGCCGATTTATCTGCTCCTTTCATTGGCTAGTTATGTCTATCAATCATGAGAGTTACAATGAATATATGAAGTTCATATATTTTGAACTGCGGTATTAAATACGTATTATGCACGATCCTCGCAATAGAGAACGCTATTTATGCAATAGCGAAAATCAGACCTGGAAAAAGTCAGGCCTGTACGGTAGAGCGCTGGTCAATTGGTAGAGCGCTGCAATAGTATCGCAGTGGTCAGTGGTTCGAATCCCGTACAGGCCTGATTTTTTTCAGGTCTGATTTTCGCTATTGCATAAATAGCGCTCTCTACTACGAGGATCGTGCATCATACGAATCATGAGAGTGGTGGATTATTATTTCTGGCGATTAGAATGCTCAAAGTATTAACCTCTTTTTATGGATTTCTCTATGATCTGTGGAGGATTGTACTTGCCAAGAGACTATGTAAAGAACAGCAGTCAAACGTGAAAGACATCTCTTCGGAAATGTGTTATTCTTAATTTTGTCATTTGCTGTTATTTTTTCTCCGTCAGTGCTGGCAATACAAAAAGTGTACCGCCAAAATGCTAGTGACTTTTACCATGGGGAACAGGAAATACAAAGGAGCATAAGTTTATCCTCTGCAAATTTTGTAAACAACGGTGTGTATTTACTGCAGTTTTAAATCTTCGATGTGATAGTACAATGCAATTTTTTATTGTGTGAATAGCAGTTTGGATTTCGTACATTCAAACAATGTAAGGAACTACCAATTTTATTCATACCTGATTGTAAAGAAGTAAAATATTCATAGCATGATATGCCATTTTGTATCTTAGGTTTTTAGATTTTAATAAAAAAACCTATTGTAAAGCGCTGAGGAACATCAGCGGAGTCTTAGCATTATATAAACTTGAAATTGTTAGAATTATTTATACGCGGCAGTATATACATCTGGATGCCCAGAATCAAAACAAAACTATAGTTGTGGCTGGGCCCCAAAGTCAATTAGGATCTATATGCACAATAAGAAATATAAACGAGTAAAAATGATTCATGTCTTAATGTGAAAGTGTAACGTGATCGTCCGGGTGAGTGTGGTCCTGAGAAGGATTGTTGTCGGTGGTAGTGACTGAGGTTTCAACAACCTGTGCGGAAGTCATCATCAGAGTCAAGAGAATAGTTGTTGTCAGTAGAATGTTCTTATTTCAGATCGTGTAAAATGATTGGTTAGTTTTGCCGTGTTGTTATCGGCTGTAAGATTCAAGTGGCGTAAGTCGGTCGTGATTGGCCCGTTTCGATCCGTGGGTAAAGTTAGGTCGTTCTGTTCGGTTCCGTCGTTTGTAATGTTTATGTCGTGAATGAGTCGTTTGTATGGAGCCGGTAGTAGTTGACACCTGTTTAGGGGAGTCTGTTCTAGGAGAGTAAACCAGCTATCCAGAGTCAGTCGTTGAAAGTACTCAGTGCTGTAAGTTAGACATTAACTAGTACCGTCTCCATACAAACGACTCATTCACGACATAAACATTACAAGCGAACCGAACAGAACGACCTAACTTTACCCACGGATTGAAACAGACCAATCACGACCGACTTACGCCACTTGAGACTTACAGCCGATAACATCACAGCAAAACTGACCAATCATTTTACACGAACTGAAATAAGAACATTCGACTGACAACAACTATTCTCTTGACTCTGATGATTACTTTCGCACAGGTTGTCGAAGCGTTAGTCACTGCCACCGACAACAGTCCTTCTCAGGACTACACTCACCAGGAATTTCACACCACGCTTTCACACGTTTCGCTCGTTATATGCAATACCTAGTGACTCAGCATCGATGTTGTTGCAGTATGAAGTGAACTTGTCGGGATGGCCTTCGGCATCTGTCCCAAGACAGATTCACTCTTGTATCCTATCAGTTCTTTGATATTCTTCTCCACCTCTCTTGAGTGACTATCAAGGACATCTATGATTATACCGTTTTGAATGATCTCGTACCCAGGGTATCTGTTTGCGAGCTCTCTATGTATATTAAAATTGTCATTATCATTATTAGTTTTACAATTGTTATTATCATTATTATTATTATTATAAGTTATCCGTGGAATTCATAATGTAATTCTTTTTTTGCCTGATTTTGTTTCCTTTTCCTTTTTAGTGTCAGTGGTTGTTAGGATCCTTTACAAAGATCTTCATGGGGTACTATTTACAGATCGACCCTTCATAATCAAAACAGGCAACACAAGGTGAGGTTACTTCCCTATTAAGTTTCTTAACCAAGTGTGGCTTCCAACAAAAACAGCCAAAAAAGAAACTCGATCCGTTTAACTTACAACGTCATCAATTTTCCAAAACCTATTGAGAGAGAATGATTATTCCTGTAAGTCAATGATCCTTTCAGCGTCTAATAATAATAATAAAAATAATAATAATAATTTAACATTTATATTGCGCAAATTAACATGTGACTATGATCAAATGCGCATCACAACACTTTTACTAATGGAGTATCTTGAAAGTAACACTGTTTTATAAAGGCTTCCATAAGAGTTACTATGGTCAAAATTGATTGGTTTCATTCTAAACTTCTAATTTCTCTATAGGTACTTGAACTCTGAGATCAAGGCCGTAGCTATGGATCCAAAACCAGAAAAATCGCAGGAGAATGTCATCTTAAAGTTTAGAAACCTGAATGTAAGAACAAGAACGATTTTATAATGAATTGTTTTATGTATATGTGCACGATCCTTCGCAGTAAAGCACTATTTAAGCAATCAGACCTGTGCGATACTAGTGCAGCGCTCTACCATTTGAGCTCTCAAGCCAACTGGGAGCAGGCCACCAAATTAATTCGAAATAAACCCGTAGATGATAAATCAAACAACAAATGTATATGAAATACATATATATGAATTCAGGCCCGTACAGGCCTGAATTTTTTTCAGGTCTGATTTTCACTATTGCTTAAATAGTGCTTTACTGCGAAGGATCGTGCACATATACGTTTCATAACCGCAGTTCATATATATGTATTTCATATATATTTGTTGTTTGAATTGTTTTATGTTGTGTTAACTAATCCAGAGATCTATTTTTAAATTAGGTCCATGAAGGAGAGAGGAATTGTATGTTCTGGAATGGCTCAAACGAAAGGTAACAGCTGGAACGTATCATCTACCCAGTTACAGAAGTAATTGGATCTTGATTCTCAAATCATGATAAAATATTTTATATCCTTCTTGAATGTTTGAAGATTCCCCACTCGATTTTGATAAAGCCTTGAAACTATACCTACGTTCTAAAAACGACTGTCAAGGTCAAACTGTTTGTTCATAAATTCAAACCATTGATTTGTTACATTTTTTGTTTTTTTTGAAGTTTTTACTTGCTGTTCTTACGTTTCATTTGGCTTTTTTCCTACTTTAATCTCTGGGAATATTGCTGAGAAAGTCCATCTATGTACTATAATCATATGTCTACTGATTTGTTCATTTGTATTCTTTTCCTTGTTCTTTATCTTTGCTCGTTGGCTTGCTTTCTTTTTTCACCTTAGGTTAGGTTTTAATAATGCTTTACAAGTCCATCTAAAATTTTTCTCAAAGCTGAATAACATCCGAATACCCATTGGTCTCGGTTTGAAAGTGATTATTCAAAGACGTATTTGTCAGAGACAGGGAGCTGAGAAGATAATAATAATAATAATAATAATAATAATAATAATAATTGTAATAATAATAGTAATAATAATAACTTGTATTTATATCGCGCTCACATCTTGAACTCATGGCGCTTTGCAGCACTGTACGGGGGACTTTACCAGACTGCTAAGCAGTTTAAATCAAATAAAGGTGAATATGACAGATGCCCCTTCCCCCCAATTCCCAGTAACCAGGCCAGACCACATCACAGTTATCTCGTGAAGTGGGTTCTTTAACGTCCTCTGCTTAACCATATTAACTAATTAATAGATGCAGGAGACGGGACTTCCATTTATTTGTCCCTATCCGAGAAGACTAGAATATCTAACCATTTCTTGATCGATGTTATAGAAAGGTAGCATATTCTTCTCAATTATTTTAAGACCCTGAGTGTTGGTCCGGCCGGGACTCGAACCCTCGACCTCCCACACAACAGTCCGGCGCTTAGCCAATTGAGCTAACCGAGATGTCACAAGCTGTCAAAATCGAAAGTACTCGATGATGTGTAGAGGTTATGAACTCATGGAAGGGGGACAGTTAATTAAACTATTGGCGCTCCTATGGTTTTTCGGGTTAATTTCGTATTTTCAATTTTGTTCAGATGAGAGATTAAGATCACATGCAAGTAATAAACTAAGAATTAATAGATTCAGGACGGAAATTTTTAAGGGAAAATTTTTTAATAGGATTCCGTATCTATGGAACAATCTGCCTGAGGCGCTGAGGACGGCCATCTGTAGTGTTTCTACTTTTAAGAGACTATGCACTATTTTTTATAACGATAGGGTTTTCGACCCGGAGCACCCCTGTACCACCTGGGCTAAACCAGCACTTAGTTAGTAAGGCTGTTAGTTAGTTAGTTAGTTAGTTAGATTACTCAGTTAGGAAGTTAGCAGCTAGCCAGTTACATACCTTGATCAAGTTTTTTTATATCCGTATATTTTCTTCATAATGGGTTGACTAGCACGAATGGTTCGTCAGCTTCCTTCTAGTCTTCCCCACTGCCTTGTTATGTAAACCAATTTGTTATTATTGTGTGTTCTTTTGTTTTTTTCCCATGTAATTGCAGTGAAATGGAATAAATTAAATTAAATTAATTTCTATATTGTATGATTATTAATATTATTATTATTCCGCAATATACACTTCTGAATGCTTCAGGTTACAAATAAAATCGATATAGGGCGCGAAAGGCGTAGCCTATTCAATTGTCACTACTACATAGATAAAGCTAAACTTTAAAAAAATTATGTGCCCTTAGACCCTAAAAGGATGGACGCAAAAGTCCAGACGCAAATAGACCTAAGAGTTTTAAAATGGTATACCCATAGACCCTTAAATGGAGATAAATGTTTAAAACCTATACTTAAAACTGATTTCGTTGGAAGAATTTAGTCCGATAGGACCTTGAGAGTCCTGGCAATATTAAGGGAGCTAGAGACTACAGCTTTCTGCATGTTCCTTAGCACTGAATGGCATTGGCCACTTCTAACCAGTCGGCGTATGCTTGACCCTTCCCGAGCTCCCTCCAAGTGTGCTTATGATGATGTTATGCTGCTCAATCTTGGACTCTGGGTATCTCCTTCTTAATTCGTAACGCAGCGGGGCGTATTTGTTCGTCTTCTCTGCACATTTGATCTCTCTATTACTGACCCATCGACAGCTCATTTCAAGTAACTCTCCTTTCTTCCTCTCCTTGTCTATAACCGTACAGTCTAACCTGTTGTTTTTCTCACCTCCGCGTGTTCTGCATATAGTGGTATGTCCCAGGGTGCCTTTCCTCTCTTGTTCTCCTAAAGTTGCATCGGCATGTTCTGAGAGTACCACGGTGGTACTGTTGTCACTAAGTCTAGGTCTTCAAGAGTTTGTAGAAAATTACCTTAAGTGCTGCATTATGCCGAATCATGTATTTACACTGGGCTAGTGCTCCACAACCTGCTAGCACGTGCGCTTATTATTATTATTATGCAGTATACACGTTTGGATGCTAGTGAGCTAAGCAAGATAGGGCGAAAATTCGTAACCTATCTGCAGGACAGGACTGTTAACTATAATAATATCTAATACTAATTAAATATAAATGATCAATATAAAACGATAAAAGTGTCAATTGGCCCAATACTAAGATGTTTTTAATTTTTTTTTTTTTAATGTTCATGATTTACTGTTCGGTTCTTAAAATATCCTTAACTTAAAATGTCCATAAAATCCTATGCATAAAAACCAAATCATAATGTCATTAAAATTCTCACGCTGTAACCAGTTTAAATGTTTTTGCAATGGTCAGAGTGCTACTTAATACAGCTTTCTGCACTCTCAGCAAAGTTTCGTTTCTTATTATCATTATATTCAGTTCAGGTGGATTTTCAGAGAGAGGATGCTATATAGTTGCATCTGAAAGCAACTCAGAAGAAACAGTTTGCAGCTGCGATCACCTGACTCATTTTGCTGTCTTAGTTGACTACAATGGCAGCCCAGGGGTAATGAATTCATTTTCGGAATTGGTAATACAATTCGTTTAGCTTAATTAACGAGATATCTATGTCTCTTCATGTCTCTTCACAGCTCACAGCGGAGGACGAAACCATTCTGGAAATTGTCACATACGTGGGATTAAGCCTTTCTCTACTCGGGATACTTTTGACGATTATTCTATATTCCTTCCTCACGTAAGTACTACAGCCATAGGAATGAAGAGCTAAGTCTTTACACAATCTTGAAGGCTCTTGGGCTTAAATTAGATCAGCTTGCAATTGTTTAAAAAGTAAGATGAATGAAAAAGTAAATCGAACAAAAAAGATAGTAACGATGATGATAATAGCTCAATAACGATTAAAAGCTGAATCGGGTTAAATTAAATCTCGAAGCAACAGCGAGTAAGATGAACTAGTACACAAAATACTTTGTCAAATATTATCTTGTTTTGTTTTGCTTCTGTCTCGTCTTTGGGATTTATTTTTGTTTTTGTTTTTGTTTTTGTTCGACTGTTTGTTTTTCATTGCTTGCTTGCTTCACTAGAGACATATGGCAGCCTCTTTCTCAAATACGTTTAAGTCTTTCTGTGGCACTCGGAGCTGGACAAATAACATTTCTCGCTGGTGTAAACGGCACAGGAAATACGGTGAGTGTAGACTTTTTCAACTGTTCATGGTTTATTTGATTTTTAGGGGTTTAAAAATATCTTGTAAAAAAAAAACATGAAAAAAACAAAACCTTTTTTTTTATATTCCTCGCAGGCTTCCTGTATCACAGCAGCAGTTTTTCTGCAGTATTTCCTGATGGCCGCCTTCTGTTGGATGTTGGTCGAGGGAATTTATTTCTACCTGCTTCTTGTGAAAGTTTACAACGTCAACACCAAGATGCATTTGTATCACGTCATATCATGGGGTATTTTTATTTAACTCGTTGCAAGTCATTTTTATCTGCATTATTTTAAATGGTCTCCAATTGAACTCATGATATCTCGGGTTGCACTGACTTTCTTCTCTTTCTGATTAGGTATGCCAGTAATCATGGTGGTCATTTCACTAAGCATAGCGTCTGGAAGAGATGTAATTCAGAGTTTTACAAGTGAAAAATAGTATGTTAAACATTAACTACTGCAGGTGCAGTTTCTTCCCCTCCTTTTTCTTTGATCTCTCTTTCCTTATTAAAACAATCTGAATTTCACGAAATATTGTAGGCGTTATGGCCCCTTCCCTTCTTTCTCTCCTTTAGTTACTTTCTTTTCGCTTAAATCTGTCTTGTTTTATTGTTTTTGATATGTGTTACACTTTGGAGATATTTTGATGCAGAGGGTTGCGGAGGTGGGAGAGCTAGGAGCTATTTGCGGCAATTTTTTTTTTTATCTATTAATTTTTTTTAACTCGTTCCCAGTTGCTGGCTGTCCTCGACTAACAACCTGATCTGGATCTTTGTGACATTTGTGGCTTTCATTGAAGTTGTGAGTCTGTGATCAATCAATACTTCATCGGTATTTTTACTGTAATTATTATTGCTATCATTTCTATTATTAGAGATAATAACAATAAGAATAATATTATAATAACATTAATATATATGTAAAGATGAAACAATTTTTAATATAATAGAAAAATTGGAGGTTGGTTGGCCGCATCTTGATATGCCTTAATGTGACAGCGTGATGCTGTTAGTGANAGATATTTAATTTACGGAGGGTGTGTGACAGAAGTATGCGAAGCGGAACGGAATTGGCGCGTTGTTTTGATCCTGTTTCTACTTTCTTCATTAAATGAAGAAATTTTCTGGTCGTCAAGCTGTTTTTCTTCGTTCCATTCATCTTATGAACTTGGATCTATACTTGCCAGCCATTCGGAAATATGATTCAAATTGTCCACCATTTGTTTTTTTTTTTTTTTATAACTACAATCCAATTCTTCGCTTGCGCGATGCGAGAAAACCTGTTTAACCTGTACTCTACAATAGACGAGTACAAATACCGCGTGACATTTGTACTCGTCTATGGCGTTATTTGTACTCGTCTGGATGTAGTTGGATAATAAAATATTGTATTATAACAACAAAAACCTTTTGCTGGCGCAGCACAGGGTCCTCTAATTCTGATCATAGTGGCACTAGAGCGTCTTGACCAGCTTACCACTGGGGGATTCAATTTGTTAAAGGATTCAAACTTTTACTTTTTCAAACGCTCGTAACAATATGTATAGCTTTTTTCTGTTTTCGATGATATATTTTACATTTCGTGCTTCTTTTAGCTCAACATTTTGATACTCGTCCGAGTTATGAAGGAGATGAGCACATTAATCCAACCAACGGGAGAAGAAAATCATATGCAGCAGATACGGTGAGTTTTCAAATTTCACGATTTATCTTATAGTTGTGATAAACTAAACTTAGGGGGGAATAAAGGTGGATAATAAATAGTTTTTTAAGAGACTTCTTGAGTAATGTGAACAAATAGTTGCCTCATCTAGCTTTATAGTATTTGCCTAAATTTCAACCTAGGTATTCTTGGACGATGAGGTATTATTATTTAGAAACGGTTATTGCTGCTGGTATTGTTGTCGTTCTTCAGACTTGGCATGAAAACATGTGCGGTGATGATTCCACTGCTGGGTGTCACGTGGGTCTTTGGTCTTTTCTTACCATTACACAAAGCTTTCGCTTACATTTTCACTATCTTCAACTCTACTCAGGTGAGCTTTTAAGAAACATGGTTGATAATGAAATTATAGTCCTTCATTCAATACATACTGAAATACCATGATCAGACACTTAAACCTTGGTTAGATGATGTTGCCCGATCAAAAATAATCTATCTAATACGAGACAATCTTTTTGGTTTACGAGATATGAGACTTGCTTTGAATTATTCTTTCGCCATTTTTATTATGGTTGCTGAAAGGAATCCAAACGATCAAACCTCTCTCACCTCGGATTGCAAAAGGGTTAATCCTGAAATAATTGTCTGTTTTAGGGTGTCCTGATTTTTGTACTTCATTGTCTGCGAAACAGCCAGGTGAGTTGAATACAATCCTGAAGATGTACATTAAACGAAATGTGAACTTCTTAGACATCAAGGTTTTCGCGTATAGGAACTAAAATTTTGTCGGCTGTTCATTTACAGATTAGAGAACGCTTGAAGAGAAAGATGAACATCATTTGTTCTTCTGCTACAGACCATGGAAACTCTGTGAAGAAGAGCTCACAAGTTAATCCAAGTGCTGTCGGCAATGTTTGGGTAGTAGAAAGGCATTCCTTCAAAAAATAGCATTATATCATACTTCAGTTATTCAATTTGACCGACATCCACCCATAAACAATGAAAACTCCTCAAGGAAAAGCTCACAGGTTGACGCAAGTGATGTTGGTGACGTGTGGGCAGTTGAATAGTAGTCTAAAAATTAGTTTGAACTGAAGAAAAGCGCAGCCTGAATTCTTTGATTAAAAAGACCGATAATGAAATTTGATAGTTTAAAACGAGCAATTAGGCCACCGTGACGGTAGTTGATCAATAACAATTGTTCAGTTTCGACCTGTCGGTAAAGCTAGGTGGTTCCGATCACGTCATTGGCTAATAGAAATCTGATATTTGATGCAAGAAGTCTTCCTAATTATTGATCTCTAGCCTTCCAAGTATTAAAAAGTCCTCAATGCAATGTTTAATCTTTTAGCTAGGAGCTAGTCCCAGGGAACTTTTTTTTTTTTTCCTATACATATAAAAGGTTAGTAATTATAGAATCATCGTATGTAATCAGGGAAAGTATGTATCAGCTGCAAGCCAATGTAATTAGTTGATAGAGAGGTTGCCTGTCATTGTATTGTTAGATTTGAAAGCAGTCCGTCCTTGAAACAATGGCTTTTTATTCTTTTAATGATTACCCCCTTCGAGGGATACATGAATTACATTCGAGCACCACTTTTTGAACATTAATCCCCATTTCACTATCTTTCCTTTACGCCACCACTTAGTAATATTTCATAATGACATTATCTCGAACCACATTATGGGTATACAGGGTAACTCTAAGCTACCTGTAATAGTGCAACAATCAGATTGTACTTTCTTAATAGCAATGGTGAAAGTCGAGTTTTACAATCATATTTAGTAAAGGAATGAGTTGATATGAACATAAATAAATAAATTACTCGGTGATTAATATTAAGTAAATGAATCACATGCTCCAGTAGTTTGTTACATTTATTCAAACTTATATCCGTCGCAGAGCGAGGCAAAAACTCACTTTTGATCGCTTTGAATTCAAATCGATGTGTTTAACAGTAATGAAACAAACTTCCACTGCCCTTTGGGAGGATTTCCTCTGACTTTTGAACAATGCGTAGAGTAACACTAAACAACGCAAGAAATGCTGCAATTTCTTT